CTAAAAAACTCAATTCCAAGTGGCAACTCTATAAAAAAAAAATCTTTTACTTTATTTTTAAAAAAAACCCATCACATCCTTAACTATTGAAAAAAATGAAGTGGTGTGACAACCTGAAAGGACTTCATAAGCCCGATGGGTACACAGAATACCTATTACTACTAAGAATAGGTCATGGTGAGTCCAGAGCCAAATGGTGCATAGGCCGGACCTCAAACTACAAATATATCTCCCAAAGAAACCATAGAGGACGTAGCTCGGACGTCGAACCACCGATACGCCTCTAAGTACCCAAGAGCAAGATGATAGATATCAACTCCATAGAGGATAATGAGGCCGAATCACGGACTGCGGCTGAAGATTAGATGTTCAGACCTTGAATTTATAACTAATAGTGGAGCACCATGAAGAGGAACCATGTCTCAAATATAGATACGAGCTAACCTCTTAGTACTGAATGAAGAGTGAACGGGAATGAAGTGTTCTAACTTTGTCAATTGATCCACGATTACCCATATACGTCAACACCTCTAGAAGTTCGAGAAAACCCACAACAAGTTCATGGTGATCTGATCCCACTTCCACTCTGGAATGGTGATCTCTGAAACTTATCACCAGGCCACAAATGCTCGGTCTTCACCTAATAGCAACACATGCAACGGGACACATAGTTTGCAATATATCTATTCATACCGCTCCACCAATAAAGCTTCCTCAAATCACAATACATCTTTATGGTGCCCGGATAGATAGAATATCTGGAGTCATGGGCATCACGAAGGACCAACTAAATCGAATCCACAACTATCATAACACAGATACGACAACCAAATCTCAAAACCCCATTTGAATATAAGGTAGTATGTCTGGCATCACCTCCTAACACTCGATCTCGAAAGGCAACCAAGGCCTCATCCTCGAACTACCAACCCCGAATCCGCTCCAACAAGGAAGACTGAACTCCCACATCGGCTTACACTCTCCTAGAATTTGAAATATCCAATAAAATCATACTATTGGCTAAACACTGAATGTCTAAAGGCAAATATCTCTCCACAGTAGGAAGGCTAGACTACTCATACACACTGTCTTCCAGATTAAGATGTCCACTATTAGATTTGCGTTGCTCGGATGGTAGAGAATTGAGAGGTTTTAGTCCTGCAAGAACTTAGTTCAATGATGTTGCCTCGAATTAAGGTTTCTCTGACTCATGATGAGTCTGAGATTTTAGCTCATTTGAGGCCTTTTAAATTTATCAATTAGTGTCCTTAATGCCTTTTTATGTCCATATATAATGATTTATTGTGTTTTGTAGATATAAGGGCTCAAGGTCAAGGCAAGGATGTAATCATGTAAAAAAGGCTATAAACATGGAAAAAGAGATAAATCGTGATATTGATGCTTGCCAAAAGACACTCGATGACTCGCCAAATGTTCCATACCTCACCAAAACTGACAGGGTCTTCGACTAAAATGCTCAAGACATGTCAGCGAGAAGAAAAGTCGATCACCGACTCACCGAACTTACTCAGTGGGATGACATATGTTCGCCGAAAGTGACAGAACATTGGTCTAAATTGAAGATCAAAAATGCGAGATTGGGTGACATCGGTGACTCATTGAATGTGAATGACGAGCTCCATTGAGCTCGCCAACTGTGGTTCAAACACTTGAAGCTAAGAAAATGCAAGAAGAAGAACAAGTCGATGACTCTCTAAATGAGTCGGTGAGCATGACTTACATCTCCGACTGAGAAATTTGATGAAGTTTTTACTAATTTTTGAAAAATTATAAATAGCCAAAAGGAGAATGAAAATGTATATTTTTGCTCATACAATCGAATCTGAATCTTTTTTTTAGCACAGTACAATAGAAACTTCTATTTTGTAGTATGACAAACAAGCTTGTAATCAATAATTTTTGGGGATTTGAAAGTGGGTCTCTTTAATTGTAGTTGCAAATCAATAATTCGATGACCGAGGATGGTTTTGGTATACTTTCTTGTAATTTTTATATGATTGGCTAAAACCCTTATTATAGAGGTGTCCAAATGAAGTTGGATTTTCAGTAAATTGGTGGGATAATGTGTATTGCTCTGCTTCGCTTTATTTTCTATGGATTCAATTTGATTATCATATATTTAATTTATGAATTGAGGTTGCAAGCTTAATTATAGCTTTAGATCTTTGTATATTGATTGAGAGAGAATATATGAAGTGGGTAACTGAGTTGATACTTGCATATTAGTTGGAACTTCTTTATTTGATTGAGAAAGAGATTTGGGGTTTCACCTCTAAATGCTAGTCTTTCTCAAGAGAGAAAAATTATGTTGAACTGTTGAGTTGTTTAGTTGATTACACATGAGAATGTCCGAGAGGAATTCTTGTAATACACATATTGTAATTGAGAAACTTAATATGTGTTTGAGATTGACCCAACCTATCCATGGGTAATTAAGGTTATTGAGCAATCACATTGACCAACCTTTTGAAATCGATACCCACTTTCGCACACTCCTAGATTACCACTTTGTTTGCTTGTTTTAGTTTGATTGATCGGAATTGGTTACCAAACAATCTTAATTTGATAATCGAAATTATTTTAACCCTTGTTACCATTTACTTGCAATGAATTGGGATACAAATTGACTTCGTAATTGAACTATTTTACATACCACTCCTTGTGGGATTGGACCCCGACCTCATAGATTGGGTAATTAGATTGCTAATGACCGCTTACTTATTTAATGGTCTTACAAATAATCTGAGTGTGATCAACTCATAATTTACTAAAGACTCATGTGGTCAGTATAGATCTAACATCGAACTCCATACATGTAGTGTCTCTAGATCTTAGGTGCAAAAACTATTTTTGCCAACTCCAAGTCATAAGTAGGGTAGTTGTGCTCATGCAACTTACATTGCCTGGATGCATAAGCTATAACCCGACCCCATTGCATCAATACATAACCCAAATCAATGCTGAATGCGTCACATTACACTGCGAAACCCTCAACCTCAACTGGGAGAGAGTCAATACAAGATCGGTGGTAAGTAACTCCTTGAGCCTCCGAAAGGTTAATTCACACTCCTCAAACAACTCAAATGGAACATCAAGGCGAGTAAATCGGGTCAATGGTGTTTTAATGGTAGAGAAACCCTCCATAAACCGTCTATAATAGTCCTCTAGTTCGGTGAAGCTCCAAATCTCAATAATTGAGGTGGGTCAAGACCAATAACGAATAGCCTTAATCTTTACCGAATATACCTTGATGCCATTCATGGACACCACGCTCACCAAATATACCTAGCATTTTTTTGTCTCTACTTGAAATTGAATTTGTGTATTGTATTATTCATCCATTCTATTGATTTCTAGGATAAACCTTAGGTTTAGAATGATGAAAGTGTAGCATTGCTTGAATTCATCTTATAGCTCTAAACTCGACTATTTAATATCATTTCATGTTTTACATTGTAGTGACTCAAAACATTATGCTCTTTACCCTTAAGGAGCAATAGAAGCTTTATTTTTTCCCGGTGTGATAAAGTATCATTAGAAACACTTAGTAAGATCACTTGATTAATAAAAAAATTACTTTTAGTCGTAAATTTCCACCAGTGAGATCATTAATGCACTAATCACAACTAACGATCATATGAATACCTTTATTTTCTTCTATTCCAAAACTGATACTAGTGTTATGTTTAAATGTATGTTATTTCTTATAGGATTTTGTAAAAAGAAATCAAAAAAGCGTGACAGGGAACTATGAGACATTAATGAAAATCTATCAGGAATTTAAACAATGTAGGTTCAACCTTTAAGGTTCGTCGTATTGAATCCATTGAATTTTTGAAATTATTGATCCATTCAGACTAGTCATCAAAATTTTAGTAGATATTTACACATACATTCATATTTTGCATCAACTGCACCTGGTGCAAATGAACCCATTGCCACAACACTATACCTGCCTCTTATGGAAACCCACACTTTCTATTAAGACCAAGTCTTCAAACAACCTTGCACATCAACCACCCATCAGTGTTGTCAAAGACACACATGTTTTGCATCAACTGCACCTGGTGCAAATGAACCCATTGCCACAACACTATACCTGCCTCTTACGGAAACCCACACTTTCTATTAAGACCAAGTCTTCAAACAACCTTGCACATCAACCGCCCATCAGTGTTGTCAAAGACACACTTAAGCCCTGAAGCAAGGCTTAAAATGTGATGAGAGCTTCACTTCACTATATGTGCGCTTCAATGTTGTCATCAAGGTTCTAAGACATATTTTTTCTTGTCAATGAGCCTCTTCTAAAGAGGTGACAGTAAACAATTGATATTTCAGTTTATCTGTTAGGAATTTGCTTTTTCAACTGTAGTTAATTTTACTTTTGCTATTTTATATTAGTTAAGACTTAGTCAATTAGTTGTTAGGCATCTATTCCTATTATTTAGGAGTAAGTTAGTGAGTTAGGGATCTGCTAGTCGTGGGTATACTGCTTTCTGTTTTTCATTCCAGTCTTATAAAGTTAATTTGAATACATAAATAAAAATGTTCTTCTACCGATATTCTTCTTGACTTCTCTGCTCTCTAGTAACTCATACTTCTGAAATTTACCAACAATTGCTATCTAGAGCTTTTTTATCTTGCGGGATCTGTGGGTATTTCTGTAAGTGATTGTTTCAAGTGACTCAAGCACCACAACCAGAAACAACAAAAGATTAAACATAGAAGAAAGCTCAAGTTTCTCGGCAATGGCACCTACTCTCTTCAATGGTGAAAATTTTCACATGTGGGCAGTGAGGATGGAAGCTTATTTCAAAGCTTTAGATCTTTGGAAGTCAATCGAAGAAGACTATGAAGTTCTTCCGCCCTGGAAACCCAATAATGGCTCAACTCAAATATCACAAGGCTAAGAAAACTAGAAAATCTAAGCAAAGGCATGTCTTTTTTCAGCAATCTCTTCAACAATATTCACTCGTATCATGTCTCTAAAACCAACAAAAGCCATCTGGGATTATCTCATGTTAGAATATGAAGGAGATGATCGTATCAAAGGTATGCAAGTGTTGAATCTCATTAGAGACTTTGAGTTACAGAAGATGAAAGAATCGAAAACCATCAAGAATACTCTGACAGGCTTATGAGCATAGCAAACAGAGTAAGATTACTTGGTTCTGAGTTTAAAGTTTCGCGTACTGTTGAAAAGATTTTGCTTACTGTACCGGAAAGATTTGAAGCCACCATTACCACTTTGGAGAACACCAAGGATCTGTCAAAAATCACTTTGGCGGAATTATTGAATTCCTTGCAGGCTCAAGAACAAAGAAGGTTTATGAGAGAAGATGGAATTTGAGAGGGAGTATTGACGGCCAAACATGAAGAGTGGAAGATACAAAAAGAAAAACAATAAGAAGAACCAGCCAACAAATGGAGAAGGAGCAGCTCGCTACAACAACAAAAGGAAAGCAGGTAGTATCAAAGGAAACTATCCTCCTTGTAAGCATTGTGGAAAGAATGGGCACGCGTTGTATAAGTGTTGGAAATAGCCGAATGCGAAATGCATTAAGTGCAACCAACTCGGGCATGAAGCAATTATTTGCAAGAATAAATTGCAGCAGCAAGACGCAGACGCCCATGTTGTTAATGAACAGGAAGAGGATCAACTCGTTGTGGCATCGTGTTTTGCAAGCAATGTTTCAACTGATGCTTGGCTGATTGATAGAGGACGCACAAACCATATGACTCATGAAAAAGAGATATTTAAAGACTTGAAGCCTACTGGAGTTACAAAAGTCAGAATAGGTCATGGCGGTTATATTCCAGCAAAAGGAATGGGAACTATTAAAGTTGAACACAATCAGGTACTAAAGCAATTTTCGATGTTCTTTATGTACCAGATTTGGATCAGAACTTGTTAAGTGTTGGTCAATTGTTGAAAAAAGGTTTAAAATTGTATTTCGAAGATAAACATTGCTTGATCAAAGAAGCCTCAGGACATGACTTGTTTAAAGTAAAAATGAGAGGCAGAAGTTTCTCATTAAATCCATTAGAGGAAGAAGAAGTGGTGTATTCGGCAAGAGAAAATGCTACCGAGTTATGGCATAAGAGACTCGGACACTATCATTGCTTCTCAAAATGCAAGAATTGGTGATAGTCGAGAACCTTTCTAAACTGGGAGCGAGTTCTAAAAATTGTCTGGCTTGTCAATTTGGAAAACAAAGTAGACTTCCATTCCCAAAGGCAACTTGGAGAGCAACAAGAAAGTTGCAGCTGGTTCACACCAATATTGGAAGACCCCAAAGGACTCCTTAACTTAAAGGTAGTCTTTATTATGTTATTTTTATTGATGATCTGACCTGAATGTGCTGGATTTATTTATTGAAGTACATATCGGAGGTCAAAAGCATTTTTTGGAAGTTGAAAGCGAAGTTGGAAAATGAAAGTTGCTGCAAAATTTAGATTTTACGATCTGACAATGGAAAGGAGTACACTTCTCATCAGTTTGGTCTATTTTGTGAAGAAACAGGGATTGAACGTCAACTTATTTCTCCTTATACTCCAGAACAAAATGAAGTTAGTGAGAGAAGAAATAGATTTATCATGGAGATGGCAAGATGTATGTTGCACGAAAAGAATTTGCCAAAGATGTTTTTGGCAGAGGCAGCAAATAGAGTTGTGTTCCCACAAAATCGACTTCCCTCAAAAGTTGTGAAAGATTAAACTCCTTTTGAAGCATGGTATGGATACAAGCCTCCGCTGCATGTTCTTAAAGTGTTTGGTTGTCTTTGTTTTACCGATGTACCTCAGGTCAAATGAGATAAACTAGATAAGAAGGCTGCCCCGGGCATTTTTATTGGGTACAGTAATGTTTCAAAAGCGTACAAAATCTTTCAACCTGAAAGTGAGAAGATAGTTATTAGCAGAGATGTCTGATTAACGTTTCAAGGACACTTAATCCAGTTCTAAGTGTCAACGATCGTCAGTCAGTATAATAACCCAACTAAATGAGTTGGGGTCGAATCCCACAGGGAGTGGTACGTGTTTAAAATTCAATAGGAAAGTACGAATATGTTCAAGTCAATCATAGGAATAGACATTTACGAATAAAAACATAATGTAAATCAGGGGGTGACACGAATGTCAAATAAATAGGGTTTTGGTTTTAACTATCAGCTACAACAACAGCAAATAACACGAAGATGATAGTAATGAGATGGGTTCTTGGGATGTGATTGGATTATAGGCTAAGGTAGATAAATGGGTAATTGCAACTGTTAGTAAATAGCTGTAAATTAGAGAATAAGCTAGACTTTAGAGGGGATAAACTTTCTCTCGAACAATTAACCCCAAATCAAGTCGGTTTCTCTCGAATACCAACAAGTATGTAAATAAGAACAGCATTCGCTTTAGTCCATTTACTCTCTCAAGTTGAACCCATGACAACCCAATACCCACATACCATCAATTCAGTATCTTGATTTTAAAACCTCTCTCTCGAGCAAGCCAAAAACACGAAGGTAGAACTGCATTTGCAACTACAATTCTTTAAATTGAACCATAATTATTGAATGAAATCACTTCTAAACAACATTTAAACTAACAATTAGCAATACCCACAAGTTAAATCAGCCCATAATCACATAATCACACCCCAAGAATTGGGGTTTTAGCTTGACATCATAAAAAGATAAAAATCGTTACCAAGTTGTGTCTCCATCAACTGGGTAAGATTAATTTCGTCTTTACAAAGGTCCAAATTGAAGAATCTCAAAGACCCACTTCCAATTTCTCAAAAATGGAAAACTTCAATTCTTCAAAGCTAAGGAAAACTTACTCTCAATACTTAGAGTTCAAACTCAAAAATTACTCTAATGAATGTTGAGAATAAAATTTGATACTAAACATAATGTTTGAAAATGTATTTATAGTCGCCAAAAATATGTTGCGAAGGGCCATTCGGCGTAGTAAGTCGGGCTTGGCGATCCGCCCTTTAGTCAGTTCTATCGCCTTTTTTCTTTGGCCTTCAGCTTCCTCAAGTTCTGTAACTTTGGGCGATCCAACACTACATCACGGAACCACTTGGCGACACGCCGACTGCTCCTTTCTCTCGCCAACTTGATTTTCTCCTTCAGGGCTTGGCACACTGGAACTTTAGGCGATATGGTGGCTATTCGGCGACTCGCCAAAGGGACTTGGCAATCACCAGGCCTTCAATTCTTTGCTCTTTCAGCTCACTTCGTTCCTTTTGCAAGTTAGTGTCCATGCGTTGTTCCTCAATCAAAATACCTGGAAATCAAGGATTTTACATTAGTTATTAGCACAAAAAAAGCATTTGAGGACACATAATCTATCCAAATAAATCCCTAAATGAGTCCAAATCTTGGACTCAACAATGTCCACTTCATAGAGAATGAAGAATGGGACTGGAATGACTCAAGGAATTTCGTCCAGAAAACAAGATCGTGGTTAAATGAAAGGGATGATGATTCACCAGTTAGGGGAACTCGATTGCTCTCTGATATATATGAGAGATGCAATGTTGCGATTCGTGAACCTGTTAACCCTAAAGATGCTCTCAAAGACCCCAAGTGGAGAAATGCGATGGAGGAGGAGTTGTTTATGATCGGAAAAAATGATACGCGACAGCTTGTTGACAAACCAGAAAAGTAATTGGGGTAAAATGGGTGTTCTGAACTAAGATAAATGATGATGGTTCAATCAACAAGCATAAAGCAAGGCTTGTAGTTAAGGGTTAGCGCATATTTTTGGTGTAGATTATTCGGACACTTTTCTCCAGTTTCTAGGCTCGACGCAATGAGATTGCTTATAACTGTTTATGTACAACGTGGCTGGAAAGTGCATCAGATGGATGTCAAACCAACATTTCTTAATGTCATTCTTGAAGAAGAAATTTATGTTGAGCAACCTGAAGGGTTTGTTATAAATGGAAAGGAAGATAAATTCTATCAACTACATAAAGCTCTTTATTGCTTAAAACAGGCACCAATAGCTTGGTATAGTCGAATAGATGATTATTTGCTTGGTCTCAATTTTGAAAAGAGTCTTTCAAAATTCACATTGTATGTTAAACATAATAGTAGTGAGATTCTTGTTGTTTCTTTTTATGTGATTGACGTTTTGATTACAGGGAGCAGTGAAAAGGTAATTGATGAGTTCAAGCAGATATGATGCAAGCTTTTGAAATGTATGATCTTGGTCTTATGACATATTTCCTTGGAATGGACATTACAGAAGGAAAATATGAGTTTTTCATTTGCTAGAAAAAGTACGCAAAGGAAATTCTCAACAAATTAAAAATGAAAAATTGCAAAGAGATTAGAATTCCTATGAAGCAAAAAGAGAAACTAAGTAAAGATGATGGAGCCAAAAAGGTGGATGAGACATACTTCAGAAGTTTCATTGGTTGTTTAATGTATCTTACAACAACAAGACCCGATATATTGTATGATGTAAGTGTTTTATCAAGGTTCATGTATTGTCCTAGTGAAGTACATTTGCAGGTAGCCAAAAGAGTTGTGCGATACATCAAAGGAACCATCACCTATGGAGTCAAGTTTTAGAAGAGTCAACCTGTGAAGCTATGTGTGTATTCCGACAGTGATTGGGGTGGTTCCGAGGATGATGCAAAGAGTACTTCAGGGTACTGTTTTAGTCTTGGTTCTGGAATTTTCTCATGGAGTTGTAAGAAACAATATATTGTAGCTCAATCTACTGTCGAAGCTGAGTTTGTGGCAGTTGCAGCAGTAAATCAAACATTGTGGCTGAAGAAAATTCTGGTTGATTTGCATATGGAACCAATTGGAAGCATCAAAGTGTTCGTGGACAATGAAGCAGCAATAGCTATATCTCACAATCTGTGTTTCATGGAAGAACTAAGCACTTCAAAATCAAGTTCTTTTTCTTAAGAGAAGTGCAAAAAGATGGAGATATAGCTCTTGTCTACTGCAAGACGAAAGAACAATTGGCTGATATATTCACTAAGCATTTACCAGTCAGCAAGTTTCAGCTTCTCAGATAGAAAATTGGAGTTTGCAGTTTCCTAAGCAAGGAGAAGTGTTAGGAATTTGCTTTTTCAATTGTAGTTAATTTTACTTTTACTATTTTATATTAGATAAGACTGAGTCAATTAGTTGTTAGCCATCTATTCCTTCTATTTATAAGGAGTAAGTTAGTGAGTTAGGCATCTTCTAGTCGTGGGTTTATTGCTTTCTGTTTTTCATTCCAGTCTTATAAAGTTAATTTGAAGACATCAATAAAAATGTTCTTCTACCGATATTCTTCTCGACTTCTCTTCTTTCTAATAACTCATACTTCTGAAATTTACCAACATTA